AAAACGGAATTTAAAGTGAAAAATATTTATATGGATTTAAGAGGATGGTTTCAGAAGGGCAGACTTTTGAACATCACGGAAGGTTTACAATTTCTAAAATATATTCTAGAAATTTATTATTTGCATCATATGCAATAAAATAAGGCGAAAAATATATGTACCAATCCAGGCATCTATTTTTTGTTTGTATCATATGTCTAAAGAACCACTGAGACAGAAAAGCTGAATCTTATGTGGAAACATCCTGGGATATTAATCAAATGAAGACCCCGGGGGGTAGGGCGGGACCACAATAGGGAATACAATTTTACATTGAAATATATAGGAAACCTATCGGAAACTGCTGGACCAGAAAAGCTGAGACCTATGTGGAAGCATCCTGGGGTAGTGTAATTTCTAAATTGTTCAAATCATGACCCCCAAGGGTCGGGCGGGGCCACAATAAGGAATCCAAAGTTTTACATTGAAACATATAGTGGATAATAATAAAAATATTATTCTCAAGAACCACAGGACAAGAAAAGCTGAAACTTATAGAAGAATTCTGAGGTAGGTGTAGATTCTAAATTGTTCAAATCAAGAACCCTGGGGGTAGGGTCGGGTCATAAAAAGAATTACAATGTACAAGGGGAAAATCTGGGTATTTTTATTTGGAGTAGTCTATTTTCAAAGAAATATCTGATCCAAACATGCATAGATGATGCATCAAAGGATGACCACTCGTCAGACGCTGGATTTGAATGAATGAAATGAATGTGCTGGATGATAAACTAGTTTGAATTTCTTTTTGGATAAGTACATTCCCAAGTAACTGCAAGTCCTATCAACTTTGCATAAAAGCTGTAAGCCCTCCCTGGACCAAACTTCCATGGATGATGCAACTAGGAATGAACATTACCAAATGTGCTGCAGATGCAGGATCTGACCTATATTTTCCAGTATGATGATGAGAAAGTTGTTCTCAAGTAATTATAAGCTCTACCTGTAAAAAACTTGCATGTGTGATGCATCTAGGGATGTACAAAACCTGCTTTTGATGCTTGATCTAACATATTTTTCTGATAAGTGAGTTTTAGCCATACTTTAATAAAAAATTAGCATGAATGGTGATACATCTAGGGATGATATCTATCAAAACTTGCTTTGAATGCTGAATCTGACCGACATTTTCCAGATGAGTGAACAATTTTTTTGTCCATTCCAACCCAGACATATGATTTGTTACTTAATATTTTTATGTGATTTTTATACGGTGTTGTCTATTTACAAACTTAAAATTTATATATAGAGGATATTCAATGTTTGAAGTTGGACATTGAATTTAGTTGGGAAAAGAATGTTATCTCACCTCAAGGAAGTTGTGGAAGCTTATGAGTTATGTGATACCCTCGGCGTCTGCGTTCTAGGTTAAAGTTTTGAGTGCAGTTTTCATATTAAGTACTTTAAACCCTTCAACAATCTGAAATGCATGGACGATGCTTAATCTAGTGTGTTTCCTTGTATCAGTCAAGGTTCCAGATGCTGCAATTTCAGCGAAGGAATGACCAAGTAATATATTTCGAACAGATTTAGGTTTTTGATGCAGGTAAAAGTCGATGGAGCAGACTCGACTCATTATTAGGGTAGGTGTAGGAGTTATGTTGACCAAGCTTGCATGGAAGATATTAAAATGTTGCACACTATACCGCTCACTTTGAATGAGAATCTGAACTACATTTTTTGGGATAGGTGACTTAGTAAAAGTTTTAGAAGCAGGTTTATTCTAAAGTAGCTATAATCCCAATAATGTTGACCAAACTTCCATGGATGATACATCTAAACATCTAAAGATGCATACGTCCAGGCTTGCTTTGGATGCTGAATCTGACTTACAATTCTGGATCCATGTTTTCGGAGCAGGTTCATTCTATTGTAACTATTTGCTGTACACTGACATAACCTGTATTGATGACACACCCATAAGGATGCGCACTATTTGACATTTCGGTCCCTGGATTTGACCTACATTTTCCAGAAGATTGACCAAGTTAAAGTTTTGGACCCGGTCTATTACCCAGAAAGTATCTGAACCAAACTTGCATGGATAATCAGGGGATGAACATTCTTGAACTTGCTTTGGATGCAAGATTAGAATCTTGTTTGAAGTTTTTGGATAAGTACATTCCGAAGTAACCGCAAGTCCTATCAAATTTGCATTAATGTTTGTTGTATCTTAAGATGTATACAGCTAGATTATTAGTTTAACGTGGGACTTTGGCTTACTGAAAGACAATGTTCGTTGATATGAGCTCTGTAATATTTGATTACCTTTTTGCACTCATTAAAATATTTTATATTTCAAAAACCCTGTCTCAAGAATGAAATATGCTCAATATCAAACTACAAAACATTGATTTTTCAATGTATAGAGTAGATTCAAGTTTGTTCAAACTATGACTCGGGGGGGGGGGGGATAGAAATATACATTTGTTAAACTTCTTACGTACAACAAAGCCATGATTGGTCATATAAATATTGAAGCATCCTCAGGTAGTGTATATTCCATTTTGTTCAAATAATGACCTGGAGGAAGGCGTGGTTTTAATTTTAAACTTATATGAAAAATCACAGTAATTCAATGAAACATATGGAGATGTGATGTTGATCAAAATATATTTTAAAAAATCAATTCTTTAAAACTCTTTCAATATATCATTTTTAATATGTGTTAGGTGAATGTGTAGACATTGTTCTAAAATATAATTGATGCCTAAAATTATAATTTCTTTCATAAAACAGACAGGGAGGATTGGTTGTAGAGTGAACTTTTTTTTCAATTAAGTGAAAAATACTTTTTGTGGCTGCCACGAACGATACTACAAGCCTGTATATATTTGTGTATACTTGCTTCTTTTTTAAAATTTCTTCAGGCTATATTGTTTATTTCTTCCTCAAATGGACTTAACTTCTCCCATATTTTTATTCATTACATTTGATGCATAAGCGACCCTTTTCTGAAGAATTATGTTTTGACTGTAAGCTATAACAGAGACCTAAACAATTTCGCTGGCAATAGCTACCACGGGCAGTTTTAAGCCTGTGGGAGGAAAATAATTTACAGATACTTTTAAACACGAATACAGAATGATCTCACCAGCATGTCATTGTGCAACAAAGTCTTCAGCATTTTATTTGTCCTTAGAACGGGTGAAACGTTTTGAATGGCACTCTTATTGATGAATTTTTACACTAAACTAAGCTATGGTCCTGCTATGAACTTTGCAGATCTACCTTTATTTACCCGCTGTGTTCATAAAACCGGAAATACGAGTTCATAAATCTGAAATCTCGATCCCGAGTCAAATTTGACATCTGAAAGAAAAAAATTGTTTTATCATTTTTTTTCCTGAAGATTCAAAACCTTGCGCGGCGGGTTTGTTAACCTGAAAATAAAATGTATGCTGTAAATATGTAATTAGATCATTGGCATATTAACCAGGAGCAAAGAAAAAGATGTTCAAAGAATTCATGTATTTCACTATACAATCATTATAGCCGCACCCTTACACCAGAACCCCGACCCAGGGGACCTGAAATTCACAAATTGGGAGGAGACAGTCTTATTTAACATAACCATGTACTTGGTTAGTTTATTTAATGCCATTTAAATTTATTAAAGTCAAGGAGTAGAGAAGAAGATTTTTAAAGAAACAATGTATTTTCACTATAAAATCAATAGAGCCCTGCCCTAACAACAGAACCCCTGACCCTGGGACCATAACATTCACAATTTTGGAACAGGCAGCCTTATTCAACATAACCATATACTTGGTTAGTTTATTTAATACCAAGGAGCAGAGAAGATTTTCAAAGAATTTATGCAATTTCACTATATTATCAATAGAGCCCCGTCCTAACACCAGGACCCCTGACCCTGGGGCCATGACATTCACAATTTTGGAAGAGGCAGCCTTAATTAACATTACTATGTACTTGGTTAGTTTATTAAATGCTCAGGAGCAGAGAAGAAGATTTTCAAAATATTTATGCAATTTCACTGTATAATCAATAGAGCCCCACCTTAGCACTAGAATCCCTGACCCAGGGGCCATGAATTTCACAATTTTGGTAGAGGCAGTGTTATTCAACATAACTATGTACTTGGTTAGTTTATTTAATGCCCAGGAGCAGAGAAGAAGATTTTCAAAGAATTTATGCATTTCACTATATAATCTATTTAGCCCTGTTCTAGCACTAGAACCCCCGACCCTGGGGCCATGAATTTCACAATTTTGGTAGAGGACTCAATGCTGATTACAATCATGCAAACAGTTTGACTGCTTGATGTCCAGGAGTAAAGAAGAAGGTTTTTAAAGATTTCATTTATTTTAGTGATTTTTGCCCCACCCCTCAGGCCCAAGGGGGGGGGGCAGGGAACCACGAAATTCACAATTTTTGATCCCGTACACCCATAAATGCTTTGTGCCAAATTTGGTTGAAATTGGTTGAGTGGTTGCAGAGAAGAAACTAAAAATGTTCAAATGTTATCGCACGGCGCACGACGGACGACGGACGACGCACGACGACAGACGAAAACGGATAGCAATAGGTCACCTGAGTGACCTAAAAAGGAAAATCAAGAGTTTTTATCGAACTTTTGATATTATATCCTACACTGTTGATAGGACATCATTTTGAATATCAATTCAATGAATAAATTAAAGTATTTGACCGTTGAAAATGTCGTAATTACAGTTTCTTGACACTTTGAAAAATTTTCAGCCCTCTATCGGCACGTGGAGACGTCTCGATAAGACTGAAAAATTCTCGAAAGAAATTTTAAAGAAAGAATATCATACACAGGTGACCGTTATAGGCAAATGGGATCTTATTACACCGAATTATATTATAAGAAAAACATTTTTGAGACAAACATTTCGAAAGACTATTTTTTAAGCAGACCACAGATCAGTGTTATTCTGTTAAATGAATTGAACATAAGTCTGACAATATTTTTACAGGTGAATACAGTCAGTTCCATTGTAACAAGGGAAATATATCTTGCAAGCCTTGTCCTGAAGTGCATCACTCATGTGTTGGTCTACCTGATGGTGACAATGCCATCTCTGGATTCAACTGGACTTCTGTGTATATCACATGTTTGTTAAACAGAACCATGGCAGAAAAAGCATGTGAGAGTGGTGTATTTGACCCTCAAAAGAGAATATGTACAACTTCTGTGATACTTGGTAGGTCACATTATTCTATAGAAGATAGCTGACATAATCACGAAGCAACTAAGTGCAGGAAATTACTTGTTTAATAGTGAAGTTCATACCTGTTAGTCTGTCCGTTCTCACGAAATAATGGTTAAGTGACAGTTTTTGTGCCCATTTAAGATTTATGTGACTCTTTTGTTTTATGTGACTGTCACATACAAATTTGATTTTTTTTAGCAGAAATGAGTGTTATGTGACTTAAAAAATCATTCTAAGAAGTGTCACATAAAAAAATACGGACAATATTGTCCGTATATGGACGTCCGTCAAAAGGTTTTGAGATTTACCTCCCTTACCCCATGTATCATGTTTTGCGCCACATAATTTTTTTGGAAAAAGTCACATAAATTTGTCAGTCACATAACCTGCATTTCGTGGGTCCGTCCGTCCATCCGTCTGTACGTCCGAGATCTCTTGTCCGGAGCATACTTTTTCTCTCTTTGGCCCCATCTGGCTCATACTTCACCCACATAATTTCTTTAGGTAAAGGATGTGCAGTGTCCTTGAACCATGTTTATAGATCAAAGATTAAGGTCATAACTGAATTTATATGAAAATCCTTGTCTAAATCATTTCTTCACTCCCTTTGGTTTAATGTGGCTCACATCACTCACAGAGGGCCACTGGCCAATGGATGTGCAGTGACCTTGAACGAAGTTTCTAGGCCAAAGGTCAAGGTCAAAACCCTTTTAAGCTACCTTAAGCTCCAGTCACACTGTCACGATTTTAGATCACGGTAAGCTACGATTTAGGGATCCGTGAAAATTCTTAGACATCCGCAGTCAGTCCGTTAATTCAGACCTGTTTACCCTTACCGTCGTCTCTCAGTATTTTTTATCAGATTTGTCCGTGAGATTTAACATTTGCCAGTAAGATTTCGCTTTCCATTGATTTTACGTATATAGTTGTAGAACAACTGCTTTTTTGATTATTAAAACATGGTTAAATACATGTAACGTGTTCTTTGTCATGTTATACCACAGCATTTTTGGCAACTCGAAATCGCCGATGTCCTTTAATTTTTTCTTTTACAGTGATTAAAGGGCGTGAAACTCAGACAGATCATAAGGATGATTGATTGATTGTTTAATGTATCTCAATAATTTTTTACTCATTAAGACGCAACCACCTGCCCGTGGAGAGCTGCGAATTTTGTCCACTACTCAGCACTCAAGGCCATAGAGCAGGGAGGGGTCTGTTTGGTGCCAGCACCTATTGCGACACGGTTTATATGGTCTGATTTGAAGGACCGGTCTCCACGTCACACAAGTCGGATTCGAACCCTCGACGTAAGGAGCAAGTCCTTACTGTGCAACTCTTAGAGCAGAAGCTCTATACACTGCGCAACGCGGCCCCGGCGACCAGATCATTACAATTGATTGTCAATGACTGTTGCTGGTTTAAGCCGAGTAGGCATTCTTTCAGCAATATTTCAACAAATCATAATGAAAACTAACTCCTAAATTCCAAACGAAAGTATTTCCGTATTTTCATAATAGCAAAACGTTAGATGTATTTTTGATTAAAAATCCGTAAAAAATACGGCGAAATCGTAAGAGTAAACAGCTCTGCGTTATTATTACCGTGGTGAGCTTTGTTAACTCGGATTACTCCTGAATGTGGGACGTGGCGACCGGTGCTTGGATGAGAATGTATAAACCGAGGTCCCGTATGTCATAATAGGTGCTGGCACGAAAAAGATCCATAAGTGCTCTTGAAAGGACCGTAAGTGCCGATTAGAGGATAAAATTTGCAGCTCTTTACCGGCAAGTGGTGGCGTCTCCATAAAAATGAAAAATTCTCGAGGGGGACGTTAAACAACATGCAATCAATCAATCTTCGATATCAAAGTACAGCGATTGATTTAAAAATACTCTCAAAACCAATAGACCTTTTCACAAAAAAATTGTCACAATTAAGTTTCAACCTTTAGAGAAATCTAGAGTTTTCACAAAAATTCGTAGAGGTTCTTGCCTGTAAAATTTAACAAGGCTTAATGAGAGCCTTTATCTTTCATATACATGTTGAATAGTAGCTAAGCTACATTAATTTACGATATTATATCATGTTATTATATCCATGGTAATCATAAAAATATACTTCCTGTAGAAACAGAAATGCTAAAGCTACTTGAATAACCAGTTAGTTTTGCCCATAAGCAAAAACTGGGGGCCAAGTGCGGCTGTAGAGTATTTTGCAAACAAAAAGTTCGTTTTCTGGCCAGTGTGCAACTTATTACCATGGCAACCAAAGAATTAGTTACTCTATGGAATCTTTACATAAACAGAGATATTTTGATACATACTACTTGTGTCTATTTTTTTTATTATACCCCCCGCTTGAAAAGTGGGAGGGTATATAGTACATGTAATCGGTATTTCCGTCCGTCTGTACGTCCGTCCGTCCGTCTGTTACGCTTTTGGGTACCCTTCTCTTATCCGAAACTCCTCTTATACTACTGAGTTTTTCATTCAGATGGTCTTTTTACGGAAAATCTCATTTCAACCTCCAAAATAAATGACTGTATGTAAAAAAGTAAAGTGGTTACAAAATTGGTTGCTAGGTGTTCAGAATTGTTGCCATTGGTTAATAAGTAAAATTTATTTATAATTGGGCAAATTGTCAATTTAATATAAATTGACAATTTGCCCAATTATAATTTTGAGTATAATTATCGATTTGTTTCTAATATACATATTTCCAAAAATGCCAAAAAATAACTGTTTTTACATTGTTGCTAGGGAAAATTTCTTGTTGCTATGGAGATTAATAGTTATGAATTATTGTTTCGTTTTAAAATTGAATGGGAGTTATTTTCTATTACTTGAAAAATTGTATCTGCTACAAAAAGAAAATCTATAAGATTTTTGACCAAACCTTCACCATTTTTCACTTTTTAGTTATCAAAACATCCAATTTTGTTGCTAGGCAACGAATAGGATTTTTCAAAATACCCACGCTTTCAAAGTCAATCTCTAAAAGAGAAAGTCCTCTACTTCTATGTGAAAGTCATGCAAAATCTGCATTAGATTTATTAGAGTGAACACTCAGAAGTTATGTTAAGTGTATAAGAAAATAATGCTGTGTATTACTAAAATCTAAGTTCAGATTCTTTTTATTTTAAACATATTTTTTTCAAAGTTCATTAAGTGCCTCCATGGTTTAAAATATTGATGCATAATTTTAAAGCACTTTGATTTTTTTTTTACAAAGTGCGTTGATTTTGTCCCAATCTTAAGGCACTATGATTTTTTTTCAATTCTTTTCAAAGTGCGTTGCCACAGTGCTCACTGCACGGCTTATTGCTTTTAACAGTAAAAGTCCGGAATTTTGTTTTTGTGGACTCGTATACGATTAGTTTGCTTGTTTTTACATTCTTAGAAGTGCTTAATTTTTTTTTACTTTGTATATTACCTTTACAGAAAAAATAATACAGTATTGCTCTGAATATCCATATGCTATATTGAAACACCCTGAAAACTGTGGCTGGTACTACAATTGTTCAGCTGGAGACCAGGCCATTGGGAAATATATTGAAGAATGTAGATATCCAAAGCTGTTCTCCACGATAACAAAGCGCTGTGAGGACTTTAAAGATGTCTATTGTAGCTCCAGGCATGAACCTCAAGCACCTTGTAAGTCACATCTTTAATATGTGTGTGCGTGCGTGAGGATGTGTGTGAAAAGGTGTGTGAGAGAGGGCGTGTGTGTGTGTCATTATGTTTGGTTTAGGTTTAATATCATTAAATCTACAAATTTCTTTAAATAGGTGAATATGTGAAAAACATATGTCCATTGTCTGAGCAGAATTGTATTCCTTGTCCAGTAAGATTACCAAGTTGTATAGGACTGCCTGATGGATTGAATGCAATTCCTGGAAATTTGTGGTCGACAAAGTATTTAAGATGCCGTACCAATAGAACTATTGGCATCTTTGAATGTAAAGAAGGCTTTTTCAACCCTTATAAAAGGTTGTGTGTGGACAAGATATCTCCTAGTGAGTACATTAAATCATTTACAGATTTAAATTTCTGATATACATGCATTTATTTAAATGAATATTTCGACATACAGTGGCACCTCATTAATGTGAACATCTCTGCCCTGAATAAAATCGTTTGCAATTGGATATTTTAACTTTTCGTATGTGTGAAATAGTTTTCAAAATTCAAGCTCTCCTCAAAGCATATACAAAGCTCTTAATCTTGATTTATAATCAATTTTTATAGTTTTAAAAGAACTAATTTATTTTATTCTGTGAAGTCAAACGTTCAAAATGCTTATCAACCAAAGAGAGGGCCTTTATTATGAAATACACCTGTGAAATATGAAGGCTGTAGAATTAACTGTTTAACAGTTATGTCCAAGATTAAGATTTTCAAAAAAATGAATCAAACTCAAAGGTCAATGTCAAAAGTTTAAAAATATCTATAAATATGGAAAGGTCTAATCACAAAAATAGGAATATACATATTAATATGAGACCCACAGTCATACTAACTCAAAAGTGATGGGCGTTGTTAAAATTTTTGTCGACAGGAGATTGACAAACAAAGAGATAAATGGACGGACAGAACAAAAACTATGTTTCCACGAATATTCGATCAAAAACTAGAAGATGAGGTTTTATAAGGCTGTTATAGTTAAACTCATACAATTGTAATTAAATTGACTGTAAATTAATGTAAGAAATATTTGAACACGTTTAAATCCATAGAATACCTTTAATGGCAGTACATTTTCTGAGAAAACAAGATGTGTTTTTGAAACACTGATGCCCCTGTATGGTAACATAGTGAAGATTAAACTTTCTTAAATGCAAATTTAATATATTGGTATCCAAAATAGGGTCGCCTAACTGGGAATACAATTGTGAAACATGAAAGCCTTATTAGGGCCCCGCTCGACGGGCGCTTTATAGTGATAAGACTGTCCGTCCGTCCGAGATCTCTTGTCCGAAGAATATCTTCTCTCACCTTGGCCCAATCTGGCTCATACTTCACCCACAGAGTGCCGTTGGGTAACCGATGTACAGTGACCTTAAACCATGTTTCTAGGCCTATGTGTCCAGTGTTGCTCATACTTCACTCACAGAGTGCCTTTGGTCATTGAATGTGCAGTGATCTTGAACAAAGTTAATAGGTCAAGGGTCAAGGTCAAAAATAGCCACTCATTTTAAAGTCTTTGTTCGCTGCAGAATTTCTTTCCCTTAAGTCTCAAACAAATTGACTGGATATGGAACATTTGTGATTTTCCTTCCATATTATGATAGAGGATATGCAACAATTTTCATAGAGGATACATTTTCTTAAAGTTTTTTAATTGTATTATTTTTCAGGTAGTATTACTTTTTGTCCCCTTTAATCTCAAACACCTTCAAAATAAACCCATTTCAGCTACATTACATTTTCATGTTCATTGCTAAACGCGGGGCCCTTTGAGATGGCCACCATCTCAATGATATCTAGTCACCATATTTGCCAAGTTATGGCCAGGCTAAATTTTTTCATCAGTACAGAAATTTTCAAGATGAAGGTCAGAAGGTCAGGGTTAATGGTATCCAATAAAAGGTCTTTCCACAAACAAAACATGTGTGAAGTATGAAAGCCCTAGCCCTAACCATTCAGAAGTTATGACCAAGGTTAAAAAGATTTTAAAAGTATGTTAAACAACATGATTAAGGTCAGAAGGTCAATGTTCTTGGTATTGAATCAAAGGCTTGTCACAAGAATTACATACAGTATGTGAAATATGAAAGCCCTAGCCCTTACTGTTCAAAAGTTATTGCCAAGGTTCATGTTTTTTCATAATTCTAGAAATCTCTAGGGTCTCTGTTCAGAAACACACAATAAATAAGAAAGCAGTGAAAAATCTTGGATTTTCCTTTCCACAAAGGCCTAAATATTGAATTTACTTATTTTATTCTCAATATGAATAATAGTGTCACTACCCCCGCCCCCCTTAAAAAAAATTAACACACAATACTACTGTTTACTTCAGAGGAGAAAATACACTCCAACAAAATGTGTGTTGAATTATATCCATTATTTAAAATGTTTACAATTATTAATTTGATAGCAGATTTTAAAATAAAATTAATAAAAACAAGATTTCAATTACACAAGGTTCTCAAAATAAAAAGTTAGGATATGTTTTAAGCCCACAAAGTATTGCTCAAAAGGTTTTCACTCTTCATGCAGATAAATTGATTGATTTAGTCAGGTAAACTTTTTAAAAAGCTGACACTTGTATAACACTGTTCTGTCACAGAACGCCACAGAGCATGCCACGTGACCGCTTAGACCATGTGTTTTGCTCATTTGCAAAAAAGTGGCAGATTGGTTTTAAAATCAGAGGGGACTTCCTTGAAAAGTTATACACACTAAAACCAGTTTTTTTTCTTAGATTAAAATTATTCAATAAGTTTGCGAAATTTTCTGATCACCCCTAGTATTGTATTATATTGAAGAAACTGATAGTTCAGGTGCAGAATGCCATAAATTAAAAAAAAATGGTTCCTAAAATATTGCCTGTAAGTTGCAGCATTTTCTAGATCTGGATTAACGCGGAACCACTCTAATTTTCAAACTAATAGTCATTATTCTACGTATTCAATTTAATGATATAAATTACATCATCTCATTGTACAGATAGTGTAAAATTACTAATAGTCATGGGGGTTTGATTTTCGTAGTGTTCAATGTACATGTTAGAAGAGACCCACGAATTTATGTCCATCCTGAAATGTAATTTTTCAAAAGATATTACTACTAAGATTCTTCATCGACGAAGTTTAATTTCAACGAACCTTCATTTTTTTCTTATACCACGAAAATTTAACCCCATGAAAATACGTTATTTTACAGTACATGTACAGTTTATCAACAAAACTTGTCTTTTTCAGCTTTCGTGTCAGAATTCTGCAAGACAAACCAAGCTGCTGTGGTGGCTAGCAGCATTAATTGTGCTCAGTTTATAAACTGTGCCAAAAGCAATGAGGGTTTTATTTTAGAATGTAAATATCCTAACCTTTTCTCGGCCAGTAGCCGGAAGTGTCAGACATTTACTGAAGTGAAGTGTGGAGGAATTATAGAGCCCCAGGCTCCTTGTAAGTTTTAAATTCTTATTTGATTCGTTAACTCTATTTGTGTTTCCGCATTATAATAAAACAGCAACATAGTGGAGATATTGACTGTCTTAGTGAGTTAGTAAGTAAATTTTTAACTTATTCGTGCTTTTCTTAGCAAAAACGCTTTTGTGGGCGATATGGCCCAAAGGCATCTGCACCCTGTACTTTAAATTTAAAGAGGAATGTCTCAATATTATTAGGTCACCTGAGTATTGCTGTCTTTTTCGTCCGTCCTCATACGTCGTCAGTTGTGCTTTAACATTTAAACATTTTCAGCCTTTTCTCTAAAACCAATTAACCAATTTCAACCAATATTAGCATTAAGAATCTATGGCTGAAGAGGAGAAAAATGTGAAATTCATATCCCCTTCCAAAATGGAATTTAAGGGATGGGTCTAAAGTCATCAAATGAAATGTAAAGAAATCGTCTTTACTCCTGAACACCAAGCATCCAAACTGTTTGCATGATGTGATAATTTAAAAGCATTGAGTCCTCTACCAAAATTGTGACTTTCATGGCCTCAGGATCGTTAGGGCGGGACTCTAGTTATATAAAGAAAAGTTTTAATTCTTCCAAGATCTTTTTCTCTGCTCCTGGATATTTATTTATAACCGATTGACTATATACATAGTTATGATGAAGAAGGGTGTTTCTTCCAAAATTGTGAATTTCTTGGTTCCTTTTGTTTTGGGCTCGGGTGTTAGGATGGGACTCTAATGAAGGTATAGTAAGAATTAATTAAAATATTTGAAAATGTTCTCCTCAATTCCCTGGTATTCAATTGATGAACTATGTACATGAACATAGTTATGATGAGAAAGGGTGCCTCTTCAAAAATTGTGAATTTCATTGTGGCCCCTAGGCCAGGGGTTCTAGTGTTAGGAATGTTGTTACATCATACTTAGGTGACATAAAAGGCCTGTGGACCTCTAGTTTATTTTTAGAATAATATGACTACATGAATATATTGTTGTTGTTTTTTTTTGCAAGGTTCTTACAAACAGAATTTGTGTCTGGCAACAGATTCAAGCTGTCTACCCTGCACCCAGCGACTTCCTAGCTGTGTAGGCTTAGATGATGGTTACCATGGCTTTTTTGGTCAGGAGTGGTACTCAAAGTACTTTCAGTGCTATAAAAACAGGACGATTGATATTCTGAATTGCAATGGCTACTTTGATCCTTCTGCGAAAAAATGCGTAGACAAAATACTTCCAGGTATATACAATTACATTGAGTTATATTTCTGAAAATTGCTACAAATAACCAATAATATTTAGCTCTAGTGGTCACATACGATACGCGCTAATACTATAGTATGGTGTCCGTCATCAGTTCTTCAAGCTGCCTCTCTCTCAGTCTGCCTGTAAACAATTTTAGCTCATCTTATTCGAAGGCTCAGGCGAGCATTTCTGAACACATTTTGTCTGTCGTCTGTCCGTCCGTCTGTAAACATTTGACATCTTTGACTTCTTCTCAAGAACCACTGGGCCAATTTGCACAAACTTGGTACAAAGCATCCTAAGCTTGGGCTAAAGGGGGGATTAAATTGTTAAAGTGAAAGGCCAAGTCCCGTCATAAGGGGAGATAATCAAGTCATTGCACTGAAATTTTGTCTCAATCATAAGTCACAGCTTTTTATTTTCCCCTCCAATATTTTTTTCATCGAATAAATAATGGGACAAAACATAAAAAACTATAACTGTCCAATAGGGACAGTTACCCCCCGCTGGGTTTTTCAGAGAAGGTGCCAAGTCACAAATACTTTATGGATCTAGATAGAGGTGTTCACAATTTACTTACAAAAATTTGCAGTGAAATATAATTCATAATGTATCTTAATGAATGAAACAAAGGTGCAACCAAATGAAACATTAATACTAATACATTGTAATTCCATTGTAACATTTTTTTTATTTCTGCATTAATAAAATATACTAGTATTGCAATTATGTGTCATGACACTCTGCAAACTGATTGTTGAAAAAAAAATCATATTATACAAAATCAAATTAATCTTGTTAACTTTATATCAAATTCATTCTGAAAATAAATCGCTAGTCATCCAGAAATGAAGTGCTTTGACAGACAATGAATTACAATTAAGAGAATAAAAGAAGAGACTCTGAGATCTTTAATTCTTGTGCCAAATTCCCAGGAGATATAGATAAAACATGGTTAATAAGAGATGCCTTAACAACTTCCCACACCAAACTCATTAATTTATCTTTAACTGGATGCATGTCCAGTCATTCTTCCCAAGAGACAAATGAATTGACATTATCTTCTGTGTTATGTAAAAACTGTTTTTAACACTTGATGATGTTTCTTTTTTTTAATGAGTAGTTTTAAGCTGAAGTTCACATTTTTGTACAGATATTCTATATTCTATGTCTCAAACCTTATACCATGAGCCCAAAATAAACAAGTCAATTAAAATAAAAGATAAAACCAGTAAAATGCAGAAAAATAAACAAATAAAATTGAAAATTCCAGGTGCAAATCTTCATATGGTGAATAATAAGTGTACAAATTTTCAGATAAATCCTTGCAATAGTTTCTGAGAAACGGTCTGCACAAAACCACAAAATAAAAATGAAAAGACACCTGTAAAATTCAAAATAATCATCCAATCAAGATGAAAATATCAGGTGCACACCTTCATATGGTGAATAATATGTGTACAAATTTTCAGACAAATCCTTCCAATAGTTTCTGAGTAATGGTCCGGTCAAAATCTCGTCTACAGACAGACGGACATGGTGATTCCAATATACCCTACCACCCCCCCCCAAACTTCGTTTGCGGGGGGTATAAAAACTTTCAAAAAAATTTTTGTTAAGTAAAAAGTTTGCTTCTAAATTAAGGTATATTGATACTCTGATAAGAGAGATAACTCTTAATGACACAAATTCTATTATTCCTTTATAAATTTGTCAAGTTGAAGTGCCTTTTTTGTCAAATTTTGCCCCGCAAACCATGATAAAATTGTTTGTATTTTATCAAGCATATACTTTTCTTTTGGAAAATCATAAAAGTTAAAGAAACATTTTATATGAATAAGCAGAGGGTTTATGAACCTTAATGTAATACATAATGGCATAATGGCTTTTTTAGCTCACCTGAGCCGAAGGCTCAAGTGAGCTTTTCTGATCAAAATTTGTCCGTTGTCTGTCGTTGTCGTAGTCGTCGTTGTCGTCGTCGTAAACTTTTTACATTTTCATCTTCTTCTCAAGAACCACTGGTCCAATTTTAACCAACTACTACAAAACTTGCTACAAAGTATTCTTGGGTAAAGGGGATTCAAGTTTGTTCAAATGAAGGGCCACGTCCGTTTCCAAGGGGAGATAATTATGAATTAGAGAAAAATTAATGGCATTATTAAAAAATCTTCTTCTCAAGAGCCACTGGGCCAGGAAAGATGAAACTCATGTGGAATCATCCTCAGGTAGTGTAGATTCAAATTTGTTCAAATCATGACCCCCGGGGCTAAGGTGGGGCCAAATTAAATGGCCGACCCAAGTTTTACATAGTAATATATTGGAAAATCTTTAAAAATCTTCTTCTCAAGAACCACTGGACCAGGAAAGATGAAACTCATGTGGAATCATCCACAGGTAGTGTAGATTCAAGTTTGTTCAAATCATGACCCCCGGGTCTAGGGTGGGGCCAAAATGGCCGACCCAAGTTTTACATTGTAATATATAGGAAAAATCTTTAAAAATCTTCTCCTCAAGAACCACTGGACCAGGAAAGATGAAACTCATGTGGAATCATCCACAGGTAGTGTAGATTCAAATTTGTTCAAATCAAGACCCCCGGGGCTAGGGTGGGGCCAAAATGGCCGACCCAAGTTTTACATAGGGATATATAGGGATACCTTTTAAAATCTTCTTTTCAAGTACTTCAAATCCCTGATTAGTGATATTTATATGGAATCATCCTCAGGTAGTGTAGATTCTAGTTTGTTCAAATCATGAACCCCTGGGGAGAGGGGGGGGGGAAATTCAACCCCCCCCCACCTCAGTAAACTTTCAGATCTGATCTGATATGTGCTTTTTCCAAGCCGATGTGCTCAGGTGAGCACTGTGGCCCCTAGGCCTCTTGTATTGATATAGCCTTTATATTTTCTTTAAAACTATGATCCACTTTAATGGTTCCTCTATCTCATGGATCTAATTAACTTAAAATGTTTGACCATTCGGCACTCACAAAATGTTGCTTTGTGATCGGGAAGCCCGGGTTCAATTCTTGTTTGCGGCGCTGCATCATACCTAAGACGTAAACATAGGTAGTGACTGTTCCTTCGCCAAGCGCTCGGCATTAGAAGTGAAAGTCACGGGTTATTATGTTCCCCAAACGAAGTTGGGGAACATATTGTTTTTACTCTGTTTCTTATTATTATTATTATTTTTCTTCTTCCTGGGAAAATTTTGTCCACGAGTGATCTTGTAAACTACACATCCGACTAAGGTAAAATGTTTTTAGGGTCAGTAGACATGTTATGTAGATTTGCCGAACGAAGGACATTTTGCGCGCACGTGCTTGCAAGAGCGCGCACGTGCAACACATGAAATGACGAATATAATGGATATTGCTGTAACTTTTCTTTTTCTCGATGAATTTTTTTGAAACTCATAATGTAAAGATACATTAGTAGTATAGACAAGATGGCAAGGTCAAAATAGCAAGATCTCACGCGCATGCACGTGCGCTTCGCTCTGATTGGCTGAAACTAAAGTCTCAATATCTTTCTTGTTTCTTGTCATGATCTTTTGAAATTTTGAACATAGTCCTACATTATGAAGATCTACAGCATGATATATAAAAATTCTCATGAAAGCATGCGCATGCGCGTGTGCTGCAATCTGATTGGCTGAAACTTTAAATGGCTATATCTCCTTTGTTTTTTGACGAAATGCTTTGAAATTTAAAACATAGTCATGCATTAAGATATCCTAAAATGTGATATAGAAAACAAATCATGAAATCACGCGCATGCACGTGTGCTGCAATCTGATTGGCTGAAACTTTATATGGCTATATCTCCTTTGTTTTTTGACGAAATGTTTGGAATTTTAAAATATAGTCATTCATTTAGATATCCTTCAATACGATAAAGATAAAAATTTATGAAATCACGCACATGCATGTGTTCTGTAATCTGATTGGCTGAAACTTCAAATGGCTATAACTCCCTTGTTTTTCAACCAAACTGGATGGGATTTAGAACATAGATATATATAAGGGACTCCTACAAGAAGGTGTAGTAATTATGCATGTGCTTGCGCGTGCGTGCACGTGAAATGAGTAAAATTAAAAATACACTGGAATGATTGTCTTTTTTAATACTTTTGGAATAAATGCTTTGATATTAAGTATATTAATATTTTAGATAGTGTTGACAAGATGATGTGGTCGTTAAGCTCATGAACACGCGTGCAATGCCTATTTTGAAATATATTTTGTATTTTTCTGGGAAGACTTTGATTAAGTCGAAATTCCATAAAGTATTTCTTATTTAATAGAGATTACAGGGAATATGGCAACAAAATGGAGTTGGGGAGCGTTTGGGGAACATCTGTAACGGTCCCCGTTACAATTAGCACTAGTTCGGATATGACCTTAAGGCAAGACAAGTGTGAAATCTAAGTAATAGAAAACAAATGATTTTGGTATCAATGGATACACATGTATAAACAATGCGTTGATTATAATATAAATAACAAGATGTGTTTCTGAAATAATATGTGCCCGGCGGCACCAAAGTCCTATAAACTATTTTTAGCAGATAAGACACAGTCAAGGTCACAAGGTCATTGACCTTGGTGTCATTTGAAAGAACTTAATTAGTGAAGTAAGCATACCAACTATGAAGTCTCTATCTCTAATGGTTCAAAAGTTATGGTGAAAGTTCTAAAAAGCTATTTTTAGCATATAGGTCCCAGTCAAGGTCAGAAGGTCATACACCTTGATGAGATGTCATTTGAAAGAGCTTTATTAGTTGAGTATGCATACCAAATATAAAGTCTTTACCTCTCATGGTTCAAAAGCTATGGCGAAAGTTAAAGTTGACAACAGACAGACAGACAGACAAACAGACAGGACAAAAACAATATACGTCTCGGATCTATCGATGCGGGCGCATAATAAAAAGAGTGCCCTCTAGTGGTTGCCAAACTAAGGGAGGTACCTCTGTGTAATATTTTCCTTAAAAA